ACACTAAAAACTGTAATGGGGGTGTTGGTTAATGAAGACCAGGAAAAGGCAGAAATTTTAAATAACGATTTCTCCTGCAGCAACTAAAAGTTAGTATAAACAAAGCTCCAGGGCCTGACTGTATTCACCCACAAGTACTTAAGGAACTAAGTGTAGAAAAAAGTGAACCTCTGTTTTTAATCTTTCAAGATTCTTTTCGTTCAGGAAGTGTTCCTGGAGGATTGGAGGAAGGCAGATGTGGCTCCTATATTCAAAAAGGTTCAAAATCCTTGCCTGCAAATTATAGACCTGTGAGGTTAACTTATGTGGTTGGAAAAAGTATTTGTAAGGTTATTAAGGGTTAATATTCAAGAATTCCTTGAGAAGAACATGGTTATCACCAAAATCAGCATGGTTTATGAAGCACAGGTCATGTCAAACTAACTTGATTGCATTCTACGAAAAAGTAAGTTAAAGTATAGATCAGGGTGTTGCAATGGATGTGATCTATTTGGATTTTGCCAAGGCATTTGCTACACTTCCACACAAAAGATTAGTGTTCAAACTCAAAGAAATCGGTCTAGATGAAAATTATTGTTCTTGGGTAGAACATTGGCTTAAAAATAGAGTACAAAGAGTTGTCATTAGTGATGTCGCGAACACAAAATTTTCGGTTCACGAATCGCGAACGCGAACTCCCACAATTGTTCGCGAACCAGGCGAACCCGGCAAACCGCCATAGACTTCAAAAGGCAGGCGAATTTTAAAACCCACAGGGACTCTTACTGGTTGAAGGGGGAAGAACTACTCTCCTCCCCCCTCCGGCCCCCACCCCTGGGCAGCGGGTGGGGGCCATAATGATAATGAGGGGGGGGACCTACTGTCCTCCCCCCCCGGCTCCCACCCCTGTGCGGCGGGTGGGGGCCCTAAAAATAACAATAAGGGGGGGACCTACTGGCCCCCCTGGCCCCCACCCCTGAGCGGTGGGTGGGGGCCCTAATAACAATAAGGGGGAGACCTATTGTCCCCCCCGGCCCCCACCCCTGAGCGGTGGGTGGGGGCCCTAAAAATAACAATAAGGGGGGACCTATTGTCCCCCCTGGCCCCCACCCCTGAGCAGTGGGTGGGGGCCCTAAAATTAACAATAAGGGGGGGACCTACTGTCCCCTCCCGCCCCCCCCCCGAGCGGTGGGTGGGGGCCCTAAAATTAACTCTTCAATTTGTCCTGGGGGCCTATAAATAACACCTACATGAGTTACTGTGTGATTACCAAATTCTAACATAACCCAAATGGACTCTATGTTCGCCTCACTAACATTTATTAGGCTAGATTTTATGTTATCCTTCACATACAGGGCCACCCCTCCCCCTTTCTTGCCTTCCCTATCTTTTCTATATAAAGAGTACCCTGGTATTGCTATGTCCCAGTCATTTTTCTCATTATACCATGTCTCAGTAACAGCGACTAAATCTACAATATCAGTTGCCATTATTGCCACAAGTTCATGGATCTTATTCCCTAAACTGCGAGCATTTGTAGACATGACTCTAAGCTTATCATTTTTTAACACACTTGCTACAGGCACCTTCTGTCCTTGTTTTGGGGGACAATTGGATTGATGTTTTATCACCCTTTTGCCCCCCCCCCCTAGTTTAAATACATCCTAGCAAAACCTCTGAACTGCTCACTGAGAACATTTGTTCCCTTTTGAGAAAGATGCAAACCATCTTTTTTGTACAGGTAATTTCCATTCCAAACAGAGCTACCATGAGAAATAAAGCCAAATCCTTGCTCCCGACACCATTCACCAAGCCACAAATTAAAGTCCCTAATATGCATCCGCCAGTGGTTCTGAGTGTTATGCACAGGCAGAACTTCAGAGAATGACAATGTGGAAGCAACCTGCCGTATATCATTGGCAAAAACACTAAAAACTTCCTTAACCTCTGAAACCTCATTGCAAGCCAAGTCATGTGTCCCTAGATGGACAAGTACATCCAATTCTCCTTCCTGCTTTGCTTGCTTAACAATATTACAGATAAGTCTCCTGTCTCTGTGAGCTTTAGCTCCGGGAAGACACCTCACAAGACCACCATTGTCCATCTCCACACCTCTTATGATAGAATCCCCCAACAACAACTGCTTTCTATTAGGCCTCACCATAGTCTCCAAGTCGGTCTCCACAACACCACTAGCCTCAGTGCCTCTCTCCACAACAAATATGGGGATTTAGTTACACAGTATAGCCATATCATGTTAAGCCACCCACATCTCATGAGTCACTACAGATGCTTCTGCTGCAATAACCAAGTTAGACTTTTTTTATCCTATCAATGCTTCATTTAGAGAGCCTTTGATTGGAAAAACACGGCGATGTGCCACACATGTACATTATGGAGAAGCATTGGAATGGCTGAGATCATCAAGACTAAAGATCACAGCAAAAGAAGCATGGTGGCCATGGAGAGACCAGTGCATCGCAGAATATAAGGTAAGTAAATGCTATGCTTTAAATATTTTGATTTGGTAAAAGTAAACACTCCTTTTTGTTATAACATGGCTTTGGCATAGTATAAATGTAATTGAGTATGCATACATATACAAAAAACAAATGTCATTGTGTTACGGGCAAATACAAATATTACAAGTTTTAGAATGAAATGTTGTATTTCTTAAACTGTGTACTTTGTCTTTAAGAGATATTGCAAATTGACAAAGTGTTAGAAATGGAACATATTGTTTTTCATAACTGTTTCTTTAAGCAATAACCTCAGTGCATAATATGTTTGCGCCATTTTGTCCCAGACAATAACAATAATGCATAAACAAGCTTCAAGGCTATACTACGACTCTTGCGGTACACAATATACTGTGGTAACCCCAAGTTAATGGAACTTCCCCAAATCCGGGAATCTCCCACGACTGTACACTTATGACTTAGTATAAACAACAGATAACCTATTCAGACTTTAAGATGCCATCTTGAACTAAGTCAGGAAAATTTCCATGACGTATACACCCTTTAGTTATGGCCTTGTATGTTTGCCAAATTAAGGGAGGTCCTAAAATAAAGTAAAAGAAGTGTTACTTTTTCATATAATAAATATGAACTACGGTAACCTTAAAATGGAGACACCTAAGGTATAAATAGGTGTACTTTTAAATGTTAAGACACAGAGGAGAGACTTGGAGACAGAGGCTGCTCCATTTTAAAATGACAGAGAGGCTGACATGATGACATGTTCAGAAGGGTATGTTAACCTATTAATGATATTTGCAAGCATGTAATTTAATCTTATAAACTCTGCTATAATGGATTTTATATTTTTATATAATAAATATCCAAAAGACAAAACGATTGCTTCCAAGACAATCCTTATTTTATATTGTATTCTCAATTATTTATATATGTTAAATAGAGGATCTCTTACACTATATAAAATTATGGCTAAGATATCTGTATGGTTAGCCCTACTAAGTTCTATGCTTTAAGACATTATAGTGGTAAATAAGGGAACCACCAGCAATTACAATTGCAGTTATTATCAATGTATTGTCTCGTTTATGAATTTACATTTATGCAACAAAATTAACAGTTAAGATTTGTCAGTCCCTTCATCTTGTTTTGCATGACCCTTGTGTACTAAAGAAAACTTTCCATTGGCTGCCTTTTAAGACACGTCATGACACTATGTCCTACTGTTACTGTATTACTATATCATTCTGTTCCATCTCAGGATAAAAGCTGCCAGCCTGACCCATCCAGCGTTCTTGTGATTACACTGTCATGGACTGAAATATTGATTGGTTTCCTGATCTTCCATCTGGATCTGACTATAAGACCGATAGCAATACTTATGCATGCAAGGTATAGAAAAATAAAAGTACTGCATGAAAAAGGAGTTTAATTTTAATGTAAGGAAATCACAATTGCAAATGCATCTATAAAGGTAAGCCATGTTCTATTGAAATCCAATTAAAACTATGGGGGATATTTATAAAAGTTTCAGAAAATTGATGGTAAAATGTTGTCATTATTTTGATCATATTTCTTAAAGTGTATGAAAGGTGTTGCAGGTTTTCTTCATAGTAAATTCTGCCATTTTTTTTTTTTTTACAGAAATTTCTATTTCAGAAGATCACCAGAGGAAAAAAAAGAGAAGTGAAACAAAGCACTTTTTTGTTGGAAATTTTAAGTGTTGCTGAAAAAAATGACATAAATTCAAGTGACGGTTACAGAGATAAGAAATAGTTTTTTTTGTTTTTTTTATAACCTGTTTGTTTTTTTAAAGTGACAGATTTAACAAACTGTGGCTTTTTTTTTTTTAAATTAGACATAAAAGTATTGCAATGCATTGATAAATATTCCCCTTTGTGTTTTCTGTAAAAGTGGGCTGACAATTAACACTTACAGTGATATTCATTAATAAGGAAAAAAATTTTTTACTTACCGTAATTATTTTTTCCTAGCAGCATCACTTATTTGTTGCTTCACCCTCAGCCAGAACAGGACAGGAAATATTAAAGACCTGAAAGTCTGCATGTATAAAAGGTCCCACCTCCTTCCATACAGCTGTCATTTAGAGAGCATCCTAAAAAGGGATTGAGACTGATGTTGCCATCAATAATAGCCAGGAAAAGAAAATTACAATAAGTATAATACATTTTCCTTTTTCTTGACTAATCATGACAGTATAACTTATGGGTAATACCCAGGGAAAGGTATGTTTTAAGCATGAGGAAGAGGAAAGAAAAAAACAAATATACCAGACACCAGAATAGAATGCTAAAGATTCCTACAATAAAACATGCCAGGAGGGGGGCGTGGCTAACCGCCGAGCAAGATGGACGTCTAAATCTTTGCTCCGGCACGAGGGCTCCACTAAATAGCGAATTTCAACGAGCTGAAACATCTACACCGACTAAAAACACCATGGCTACGTCCAAAGCAAAAAAGGCTGCAATCAAGGCAGAAAAAATTAACTTTTTCGGCCACAAATCCTCCTCTACAACGTAGACCATGCGGGCGGCAGAGCACGAGGGCGCGGAAGATATGGCACCCAGCCCACCGCCGACAACGCCGGATGACTCCCAGTTTATAGACTGTTTAACACGGAGCCACTTTGAGCAGGCGATGGATGCAATGGCGACGAAATTGATTTTTACATGGCAGGCGACGGATGATCAAATTAAAAAGGAGGTGAGGGACCTATCATCCAGGACCTCTGCAGTGGAAAAGCACTACCAGGAGCTTGCCTCCGCGCAAACAACAGTCTCGGAGCACCTACAGGCACTGCAAAATGGAAAGTATGGAAATGCGCATAACAAACCAAGAAGACAGGGCACGCAGGAATAATCTACGGCTCCGGGGAGTTCCAGAAACAGTCCTCCCCGACGATCTGCAAGCCTCATGAGGGCGTATGCCCCAGATATACCTGCGGACATGCTCTTGATAGACAGGATCCACAGGGTGGCGAAGCCAAAAAATCTGCCTGACTCCATACCGCGTGACGTTCTACTTAGGGCTCACTATTTTCACATTAAAGAGTTGGTCCTCCATTCCCACCGCAACAGAGAAGGCACACACGCGGATTTCCCAGCAGTGCGCATCATGGCGGACATATCAGCCACTCTCCGCTGCATGAAAGATTACACACAGACCACTACAGAACTCCGCAACCACGGCATACGCTACAGGTGGGGCTTCCCCACGAAGCTGATTCTCTCCAGACAAGGGAAGACGGTCGTCATTCCGTCGCCAGAGGAGGGCAAGCGCCTCTTGGAAAAATGGGGCCTACTGAAAGAATCCCCGGAGGAGACTCGTTCCATTAATCGCAGCTTGAGTCACACCATGGACATGAACTGACATAATTAGCTGGAAAGGATAACTCTGCTCAACGCAAGTATCACTGTGAATCACATGCGCTTCTTTATAACCAAGTTACTACCTGACTATGTATGTATAGTGTCTAACTGCCACCTCTATAGAATGTCTCCCTTGCTGATGTGTCTACCCCAATAACTCAACACCCCCACGGGTACATGGGAACTCACCTAAGGGCAATACTCTAGGATGGGATAAGTGCCGCACGGGTGATGCCCAAAAAAAAAAAAAAAAAAAAAAAAACTCCTAGCCTAAGCTACCGGATCAGGTCTATCCCCCTAAATCCAATACCACAAAAACGGATAGTGCCATTGAACATAGAGAATGAAGGGTACATAATGTATAGTAAAAGGGTTACCGAACCGGGGAACCCTGGGACAGGCACATATCCGCCTCAACGGCACTAAAAGGCACGAACCCCACCAACCAATATGCCCACCTTACTAATAAGGACAGCAGTGATAGTGTGGACAGCTTGGCGACTCAAAGGGCCAACTAACCAAGCTCCACTTTAACAAACCCTACCTTACTGGCACGCATGAGCTCCACGCCATAACACTACACCGAGCTTTTAGCTACTGACAGCTTAACATACCCTGTGTCGATCTAAGGCACCCGCAAATCAGACAGTATATAGGCACTCAACGGTTCAAACACAGATTCGCTAGGACTATCCACATCTGCCCCTGATATGACATACACCCCCACCTAGGAAAACCCAAGCCTGGGGCATCATACCGTGCGACCACTAAGGGCCCTGAGGGGATGGAGAGGAGCCCCTTACAAACTAACGTTGCGAACGTAGGTGAACATGGGGACAATGGGAATAGACGCAACGATCACTGGAGTAGGACATACAGGACCCAACCTGGTCTACAGCGCCAAATGACACATTGTTACTTGCTTGCATTCTTGATGATGTTATCCACTGTTATATTTAACTGTTCATATGTTATAATGTTTACCACCTCACCACACATGGTTTCAGCTCCATCCCAACGCACTACTTGGAGCCCACTAGCCACGTATTTGGAAGCTCCAGCTCCTCAACCCCACGGCGCGACTAGCGTGCCAGACCATACGGTCTCTGTACATAGCACCATCCCTATATAACACCCTACCCCACCGAACAACCCCTGCTCCCCCCCCCGACATAGTTGACACACAGAAGAGCCAGTTCACGCCACAAAGCTATATACCAATCTCTTCACGCACAACATTAAGCACAAACGAACATGATCATCTACTCACACAATACCAAAGGCCTCAATACGCCACATAAACGTCGAATGCTACTAGACGACATAAAATGCACCAAAGCAGACGTAGTCTGCATACAAGAAACGCATTTCGTAACCAATAGGGTCCCCCAGTTTGCCTACAGAGACTACCCAACACAATTTCACGCAACCCATACGTCCAAATCTAGAGGAGTTTCTATACTATTCCACAACTCCCTAACTGTAGAAACCCTACGGGTCAAAAAGGACACTTAAGGAAGATATATCATTCTGCAATGCAGAATCAATGACCACCCGTACATCGTAGTATGCCTTTACAGCCCAAACGACCACCAACGAAACTTCCTACACAAAATCCTCAACAAAGTGCCAGACGACGCAAATTATCCCAAGATCCTATGTGGAGATTACAATCACACGATGGATACTCGTATGGACTCGACATCCCCAAGCACCTCATCCAAACATCTCAAATGTGGTCCTCACAATAAAGCATTTACGAAACTTATCCATGAAAATAGCCTATACGACGTCTGGAGGACAAAACATCCCTCAGACAGGTCCTACACATTCTTCTCACAAGCACACAAAACGTATTCAGGAATTGACCACATACTGGCCTCCGGTACTCTGCTCCCACGCGTAGTGGACTGTTCCATAGGAGATATAGTGTGGTCTGACCACGCTCCACTGACGATGACATTAAACTCCAATTACCAGCATCGAGGTAAGCCGCCATGGTGCCTCAATGATTCCCTCCTCAATGACAAGACATTCACGACATCACTGGCGTCAGAATTGGAAAATTTCTTTAAGACAAATGACAACTCGGAGGCTTCTATCTTCTCCATATGGTAGGCCCACAAAACGGTCATAAGGGGTCACCTTATCAGCCGAGCATCATACCTTAAACGCAAACGAGAAAAAGAGCACATGGATCTCCTACGAAAGCTGAGAGATACCACATCTGCTCACCTACTGAACCCAACTGGTACCCGAGAAAAATAAATCACCACCAATCAAATTAACGCATTGACTTTTCAAAAAACTACCCACATCTTAACAAGACTGAAACTCAGAACGTACACCCAGGGCAACAGAGCAGGGAAACTTTTGGCTGCTATGCTTAAAAAACAACAGGCGAACTCTAAAATCCCACATTTGATTACAGCCACAGGCGACAAGATACATAACCCACAAGACATCAATGACAGTATGGCCGACTATTACCATTCCCTATATAACCTCAACACAGACCTTACCCTGCACCAACCAACTCCCAGGGAAATTGATGACTTTCTCCAAACGGTGAATCTCCCAACACTTTCCACTACCCAAAAAGCCGATATACAACACCAGATCACAGCACAAGAAATCATAGATACTATCAAATCTCTGCCACCAGGGAAATCACCAGGCCCCGACGGTATGACAAACATATACTACAAACAATTCGCACCAATCTTAGCTCCTTACTTACAAAGGGTATACCACCATGCCATACAAACAGGACAACTCCCACAGGAGATGTTGATGGCCCACGTAGCCACTCTTCCTAAACCAGGGAAGCCCCCGAATAGGTGCCAAAATCTCCGCCCCATCTCTCTACTAAATACGGATGTAAAAATTATAGCAAAATTTTTTTCTAATAGGCTAGCGCAAATTATACCCTCCCTGATACAGGAGGACCAGGTGGGATTTGTCGGGGGCAGAGAGGGGGCAGACAGCACTAGGAAAACCCTAGATGCCAAAAAGGCCTTCGATAGGCTCCACTGGCCCTTCTTGAGGGCAGTACTCCAGAAATTTGAATTCCCCCCGCAGTTCTTAGCACTCGTACAAGCACTATACTCATTACCGACAGCAAGGGTGGTCAACGGGGGATTCATCTCAAAACCGTTCCAAATATCCAACGGCTCCCGACAGGGTTGTCCACTTTCCCCACTACTCTATATACTAACGCTCGAACCCCTCGCCCAATTAATACGTAACGACCCGAACATACACGGGATTAAGACCAAAGGCCGAGAATACAAAATGTCATTATTTGCGGATGATATCCTGTTTACGTTAGAGCAACCACACATATCCCTGCCCAACTTTCACAAAATCTTATCCCACTTTAGCGCATGCTCATACTACAAACTGAACATTTCCAAAACCTTAGCCCTTGGTATCCGTATCCCGAAATCTGACATGACTAACCTCAAGGCACACTTTAAGTATGACTGGAGACACGACCATATCAAATTCCTAGGAGTCCACTTTACCCCCTCAATCAACACACTATTCAAGGCAAACTACACCAAACTACACACGGAAATTAAAACTCTACTATACGGATGGAAAGGGAAATACATATCCTGGACAGGTAGAATAGCCTCAGTAAAAATGGTGATCCTACCAAAAATCCAATATTTATTCCGCACACTCCCACTCAAACTCACCAAACACTACTTAATGGAACTGCAACGCAGCATAAATGAATACATATGGGACTACAAAAAAACAAGAGTGGCCTCAACCACGATGTACAAACCCCATGACCAGGGTGGAATGGGCCTGCCGGAAATAGAGAAATACTACAGAGCAGCCCACATCGCCCCACTCATTGCTGCATCGCACCGCCAGACCCCCTTGGCCTGGGTTGAATTGGAAAGGAGCCGCGCCGGAGGGATCTCCCTCCCACCTCTGGCATGGCTGCCGACAAGCCTCTGACCTAAAACACCGGAACTATTACCAACCACCAACTTAACCCTCTCCATATGGGATAACTATCACCGACAAAGAGGAACAAAAACATCCTTCTCACCAGCAACCCCGATGGAAGCACTATGACAGCTTATCCCAGACTTCAATTACAAACTCTGGCAGAGACATGGAATAAACACACTATCACAAATACTACAGGGAGATCGCCTTAAGCCCCTTACAGATCTCTGCATGGAATACAAGCTAACCAAGACAGCGACCTTCTCCTATATCCAATTACAATCATGGATAAAACTCAATAAACTGCGACAAACGGCAGACCCACCTGACCCACACTGGCTCAAACTGTTACAAATATGCACCAAAGCCAAGCCGGCTAAGAAACTCATCTCCAAAATCTACGCCTCCGCGAAGTTGGACACCCAAGCATCCCCGCCTTCCTTCCAAACGGCATGGGAACGGGATATAGGACACAGGCTTACAAGCGACCAATGGCGCACCATATACCATGCCAACAAACAACTCACCCTTTGCACTTCACACATGGAAACCTCCCGCAAACTATTATACAGATGGTACCTAGTCCCAACAAGACTCAAACACAGCTACCCGACCATATCAGACAAATGCTGGCGGTGCCTAGGGGACCGAGGCACCTTAATGCACATATGGTGGCAATGTCCGCGACTGCAAAAATACTGGTCACAAGTCCTAGACCTAATAAAGAGCTGCACCGAACTACATATCTCCCTCCTGCCGGAGGTATTCCTGTTACTACTACTTCCCCCAACACAGCACATGCACACTAAATACCTACTATACCACATATGTATAGCAGCCCTCACTACCATAAGCAGAAATTGGAAACAAACTATAGCACCAACGCTCACCCAATGCATCACAGCGATAGAAGCGTCCAAAACCTATGAAACAATGGCAAGGAAAACAAGCCGGGCCAGCCCCTACTGGACAGAAGCATGGAACCTGTGGGACCGAAACAAACCACACTAATCCAACGAAAACAAAAACCCC